GCATTCACATACTAGGACCAATTTAGACAGGAGCCAATTTACCTACTAGCATGTCTTTGGAGTGTGGGAGGAAACCGGAGTACCTAGAGGAAACCCACGCAGGTACAGGGAGAACATGCAAACTCCATGCAGGTGGTGCCGTAGTTGGGATTCGAGCCAACGATCCTAGTACTGCCAAAGCGCTTGTAATTGCATTTAAATTGCTTGTGTTTTTGATGCATATACCTGTCCATACAGAATTTAAAAGCGTATAATTCTTTATATACTCTTTTACTCCACTAGATTGCATTCATGCATGTACACAAATGTATTCAGGTTTTCAACTGTATAGGCAGAAGTTTACTCCAAAATACTCATCTCAAACACAGAATTTGGGCAGTGTTTATTGTTGCTGAATGCTGCTCTAGATTACAGAGCTGGACACTGCTATGTCCAAGGATACATTGGCTATAATAGAGGGGTGATTAGATCCATAAAAAAGAAAACCTGTATACATTGGCTATAATACAGCTGTGTTCAGATCATTAAAAAAAAAACGTACACATTGACTATAACAGAGCTGAGCTCAGATCATAAAAAAAAAAGTTGTACACATTGGTTATAATAGAGTAGTGTTCAGATACATAAAAAAAGTCTGTACGGATCTGAAAGTGCTCTTTTTGCACCCGTATACATGAGCCCCTATGCATGGAGGAGGCTTGGAGAAGTCCATGAATCCGGTTACTGGGGGACTATACAGACAGTTTTTATTTAAAGCATTGCAGGGCATTCGACCCAAATGTGCTTTTTTTGCCTGGAAAAGAACAGAGTATCCTTGCTAGAACATGAGATTTTTTGTTTGTTTAAAGTAAACAGATCTTGAAGTACTAAAAGTTGTGCTAGAGCGTGCTACGGAAATTAAACACCTAAGGGATTATTTCATAAACTGCCATTGTTTTCAGTGATTAGACCTTGCTGGCTTTGATCTTAATGTGTTCCACCTCCCTCCCCCACCTCTACAAACGCCCCTCAGCCATTACCATCTGCCAAGAACAACAGACTTGTATATATCCATTGCCAATGTATACAGAGTAACAAAGCAATATTCCCTGTTGTGTTACAAACAACTTGTTTGTAGAAACATGTGCATAGATAAATAATGCATACTTAAAGAGATGCCATTGTCCCATTTCATTCAACGGTTTCTTGAAATATCTGCTTTATTTGAAGCAGGCAATGTACTTTTTATGTGAAAATGTTAACTACATATTGAAGATTAAAGCTGAACTTCAGACAGACAGTAAAATACAGATATGGGCGTTTATCGGCCAAAGGATTTGTATTTCTGTCCCTGCTGTACTGACAATTACACAGCTGTGCCGCGTGGCACAGCACTGACTAGTGGGGCAGGAGGCCCGAATTTTGTCTGCTGCAGATAAGATGAGCTGGCCATACACTAGTAGAATTTCATTTGAAAAATGTCATTTTTTTTTTTAAATGACCGTTTGATTTTCTAACCATTAGTGAGGTCACGCTGGTGTTCGTTATCGGTGGCAGTAACAAAAAAATTAGAAGGAGCAGGATAGTAAATTTTTTCAAATGGACACACTTCTAACATTGAATGTGGTTTTCCTTCCAAAAGTCCATTAACTCCAAAATCGAATGTTAAAAGCAAACAAAATTTTGATGTACATTCAGACAGCATTCATTAAGTAATCAAATGTACTGATAAGAATTTTCCTACAAATTTTCATTTGAAATTATAGTGTATGGCCAGCTTAACACTTCCAGGTCTCAGTCTGTGACTGGACAGTGAATGGAGAAATGGCGCACCGATGAGTTGGTGTCTCTGTCACTCTCCTCCTGTCAGCATGTTCTTATAAGTAAATGAGCATTGCAGTGCAACAGATTGGCTCCTTGTGCTGCTTCTCCCTCCCCAGTCTGAGCTCTGCTGTATACAACTTCAAGAGGCTGATAATGGGTCAAATTCAGCTACTTGCATTTTAACCAAATTAATGATGTATTCATGTATGGGGTCTGCACAGTTCAAACACGATTGAGTTGTGGCAAGGCTTCAGCAGTGTGCAGAGTGGGACCCCTCCCCATCTGTGTTTATGTATTTTACCTGCAGGCCTATTACTAGACAATAGATATTTTAACATGTGTGAACTTGGGAATTGTTAACATGGCAAATGTTGAGTTTGGACAAGTTCAGTATTGTGGTTGCCAAATGGATGTTTTGTATGTGTGTACCAGAAAATGTTACTACAAATATTAAGCCTCTCTTTTTAGACTTTTGTAGTGGATTTGCAACCTTTTTATTTATTTTATCGAATGGCCATTAAGGACCGCTGTTGCAAAAAAGATTTTATATTGACAAATGTGGTTAATATTTTTTTTACATCTTGGTCTGTATACATTCAGACCAAGTTGTGCAATAAAAGTGAATACTACATGAGCCAACGTCTAACTACTGCTGTACAAGAATGGCGCCTGGTATAATGTGAGGTGGGGCGACCTGCTCACTGACGTCATGCGTCTTCACGTGGACCTTCAGCTGATAGTTGATATGCTTGGTCTTTTGCAAAACAGATTTAAACTATGGGGGAAAAAAGTGACCATTATTGCTCACCTGTAAGTTACTTTGGCTGGACAGCCAACTTTCTCTGTAAATATAGAGACAATCATATTTAAGACCATGTGAAATAGTTTGTAAATATCTTTATTTTTGTCATTCAATATCTCACGCACAGTTGTCAGATACAATATTTTTGTGATAGTAGCAAAAAGTACGTCTTTGCAATACGCTGTGTGTACAATGCACATTTCCCCATCTTTAATCCTTCTAAGCTGCAAGTACTGTAAAAATAATGGTTGATCCAGCCAGAAAACTAGTCAGCTTTCAACTTCTTTTTGGCTGACATTACTGCCTCTGCTCTATTGAAATTTCAAGAAGCTTTGTAAGCCCTGCCTGAGTTCTCCTCTGCTGGACTACAGAACTCTGCTATCTACCTCCACCCCTCCCTGTCCCTCTCCAGTTACATATATTCATTTTGTTCCAGCAAAGCATTGCTGCCTAGAACTCCATGAAACTGCCCACATACTGTGTATAAGGAAAGGACCTTTGGGGGATGTAGTTCTGGGGGCAAGCTTATGTCAGTAAGAGTGAATAGGATACCCTGTTGACCCCTCCTCCCAGCAGCTACTCCTGTAAGAACTTTATAAGCTTGGTGATGACACCAAAGTGAGTAATAAAAGCGGTTTGTCATTACAGGAACAAGGTAAAAGAAAAAAATGTAATGCTGGGACATGCTATAAAGGGGGGGGGGGGGGGGTGTGAGGTCTCAGTCATGCCATTGCAATTCCATGATATACAACATACACATTTCTTTTCAGATTTGGATGGAGTGAGGAAATATTGAAACTCTAGCTTTATATTCCTGTCTGTGTCACTCCGCACTTTTGTCCTTGTTACATTGCTAAGTTTGCCATAGATGGATCGAATATCTGCAGGGAACAGTCAAGATTCGATCCATCTATGTGCAGGCTGAAGCTGATCCATCAATTGACTTCAGTGCAACCAGTTTGTCGGATTTTTTGCATGCGATCACTGCCAGTGTCTATAGCTGCTAGCAGTGATCATTATGTTTCTGCAGATTCTCTGCCAGCAGAATACATTAGCTTTGTGGAATAGGGAATCGAGTGATTTTCTTTCCTTCCACCCATGGTGGAAAGAAAGAAAATTGTATAATCCGTGGCTTGCTTACATTGACAAAAAGTGATGGGAAATACAAAAGTTTACAGTGATTTCCCCTCACCATCTCTTTTGGTAATCTTCCGAAGGGATCACCTATCCCAGTGACAACTGTCTTACTGGTGAGCTACAATAACTTGGTTGAAAACGTGATGATAAATTTCTTCAATGGGACACAAACATCAAAAAATAAACTTACAAGGGCTTTAGCTCTTCCCTAGTCTATCCAAAGCTCAAGAACAAAATTGGCTTTACATAGACTTTAAGAATTATTTGTTTTTCCCACTAAATGACCAATTAGAACCCCAGTCTAGTTAAAAGCGGGAGATTCTGTGTTGAAACCAAAAAAACAATTAACACCTACCTTTTCTTGTATGTCTGTCCACACAAATATATTCTGTGATTTTTTTTTTTTTTTTTAAAACACCAACTCCACCCTGTATTTTAGTTTTTGGTGAGTTACAGTATGTTGCATGCTGACTTTGATTTCTTTAGTGTTCTACCTCAATGCCTTGTGACCAATCTGTGACAACATTGTCACTTTCTTCTTGTCAGGTTTCTCCATGATTAGATGTTTTATGGGAGATGAAAAGGGGGAGGGGGTGTACATCATCCTCTTTTGATGTAGTCATGGCTGTAAGCTGGACTTGGTATTCTCATGGGGAGATCGCCCCACTGTGAGTCTGGACACAGAGAAGCCAGTTTGAGATTTTGTCAGCAGACGCATGGAATGCCTGTTTTGTGTAGAGCTGAACTTTACATTAAATAGACCCTATCACCAGTTTAAGAGATTGCAGGTTAAAAGGATTGAAAAATCAAGTTTTTAAATTATTACTTGTAGCATTTTTCCTTTCACCTGTAAGGTGCCTTGAAGCTTGCTAAGGAATGTGACCACTTGCAAAGCCCCCCTACCTTCTTGCAGAGCCCTCTTCTTTTCTGGGAATGTCTAATTATTGTCTGTGCTGGTCCCCTGCTCTCACTCCTATATCGCCTTTTATGTAGCCAATAAATAACATGCCTTATAATATTTACATGCACATATAATCTTATGGGAAGGTGGTTGTCGAAATGAATGGTCAAGACAGCGTCTGTTTATTGCTATTACAGATGGTTGTAGCATAGCTTACAAGAGCTTTTGTCCAATGCAACTGTCTCTCACTTTATCATGTTCATTGTTCAGCACATGTCATTGTAGCATGCTTTTAATGGTCCTGTGCCGTGACATGTATTACTCTATATATGAGCTCCACTCTTTGCATTCTTGCAGGCTGAAGCTGTCGAATGATGAAATTAAGCGTGCCATTTTGACAATGGATGAACAGGAAGACCTACCAAAAGACATGTTGGAACAGGTGAGAGGCAATACTGATGCTGATTATCTGTCTTTTCAATGCTGACCTTCCTTCAGAGGGGATGACAGATACCTCCAGCCATGTCATCTCTTATCCAGAGAAAATACCTCTCAGAAACCAAATAGTGACAGATAAGCCGTAGATAATTGCACAATGTCAGGATGTTGGACAATTTCAGCTGTATCAGGTTTTACTTTTAGGTAACATTACGGGTGAATGATATTAAATTTAATTTAATGAAATATTAACAGCTACAACACTTACAATGGATGGTATCCTGAAAACTGAATCACAATTTATAAAAATACATGGTCTGCTTTGCTTTCAGCCATCCCCCTGAAGAAAATAAAAAAAGGAAAGAAGGTCGCCTAATAACCCTTAGGGAAAAAAAAATAAAAATTTGCCTTGGCCCCAGTTTTTACCCATCACTGGAGGCATCAGTTGACATTGCTGTTGTCTCCTGGGAAGGGTTGGGTGCCTAAAATCCCTCCAGAACATACTACTCCAATGTGTTGGGGGAGGGGGCTGTCATTCAAGGGTACTAGATTAGTCAATTGAATTCTGCAAGGGAAGCAATATGGGAGGGAGAGGACAGTAATATAGAGTTCTTTCAGTCACATAATTATTCCCCAAAAATATCGGTAGTTATACAATTTGTGAATAAGTAATATACTGTAAGCGGGTTAGTTGTGGACAGAGGATAGGTCACCAATGGAAAAGCAGCAGACAACTCGTGTAGTTCTTTTTGATTTTGTGTCCCTTTACATTTGAAGTCATGATTGGTGGGCCTATGGTCTTTAGATTAGGGCTTAGAAGAGGGGGAGCAAAGGCAGGGCTGTGTTTACCATCATGGCATTTGTGGGCTAGCTTACTAGAGCAGCAGACTAAGGGGTATGGTGGGTTAACACTGAGTATTAAAACTACTATTTTTTTTAAGTTTGTTTTCCCCCTTCTAATCACCTCTGGAAATATATGGCTGAATTCAGCGAATTAACTATAGGTTAAAGTGTGTGCAGTAGCTGCTGGGGTGGGTCAGAAGACTCGTAGATCAAGAAGCATAAAATCATCTCTTCAATTGGTGGACTGTACAATTAAAAGTAGGGGCAAATCTGTAAGGCAACCAGCATGCATTCACCAGTAGTATGTTCTCCCATTCACTGTTAGCACAATAATCACATGGCACGTGGGTCAGAGCTTTTATAAAAAAATGTTATTCAGTTATGTTAAGTAGCAGTATGGTATCTACATACCACCCTGAGCACAGTTGGGCCCCAGTAATTTAAATGATGCTCAGCTGCAGTTCTATGAGCAAGCTAGAGGTGTGTAGGTGAAATGGGAATGTGGACACTGGTGTGTAAAATGACTAGTTTAATACATTGTAAATACAGTGTATATATTTCCATTGACAATATGTGAAATCTTTGCAGCTCCTGAAGTTTGTTCCAGAAAAGAGTGATATTGACTTGCTAGAGGAGCACAAACATGAGTTGGATCGAATGGCCAAAGCGGACCGATTCCTCTTCGAGATGAGCAGGTTTGTGGTTTTCCCATCAGTCTTTCAAGCGGTCATCTTCCAAAGGTTCATTTGTTTGGTACTTTATGGTACTGAAAGCTGTTTCCTTGTCTATTAGTGACATCTTTCTGAGCTGCATTGTGAATTATCACTTTCATGACCTTTCATTTAACTCTGACTGATTTTCCTACTTAAATTAATTTTACATTGCATATAGGACTTTTAAGCACAGTGTGGTACAGTCCATTGCCTTTCACCGCAAGGCCGACAATTGAACTTTGGGATGTCTGTATGACATCCCAATAAAGTTTGTTAAAAAAAGAAATAAGTGGCAGTTGGTGTGAACATACCTTAAGTGAATTTCCTTTAAGCCCTGATTCACACTAAAGCGCGATTTCAAAGCCGCATATCAGTGCATTTTGCACTGCTGATTTCATTGCAACTTCATATAACAGAAGTATATGCAAATCGCAATGAAATTGTCAAAAACTAGTGCAGGAACCATTTTCATAATCACTGCGACATGAGTTGCAGCAATATGAGCGGTTCCATTGCCGGCAATGGGGTGTGACTTGTCATACAATTTAGAACTGTCAAATTACAAGACGCACCGGTTTGAGCTGAGGCTTAAAATGCTAGTTGCCTGTCTGTCCCTTGAAAGACGCACAAAAATCTGCACTACTTCCGTCTTTGTTTCAAAAGGTACAGTCCCATAGTTCTTGTATTGATGCAGGCTATCCCTGACTTGGAAGTAGACGAAAAATGCAGATTAGGAGCCTTGACTGAAGTCCAATTCCTCTGGTCAGTCTGTCGGTGACTCAGAAAGCAGTGAAGCCATTGGTTCAAAATGGCAACCAAAAGCCCTAGTATTTTTAGAAGGAAATGTCAGCAGTGGCAGCCTTCATACCTCTTTGGCACAGGTTTCCGATAATTTGGCTACCTGGAACTTGAAAATTTTGTATCATAAAGTATTAAAAACTATGTGTGTGTATTTATATTAGTGTTCAGAGAGAGAGTTCAGAATTGATGAACAAAAAAATAATTTGATGATGTAACACAGGCTGACTCAGCTTGTCTCTGCATTTTATTTTTCCAGCCCAGACAAGACTAAGCTGCTCATCAATGTGGTCTGTTTTATGGCCTGTTTTATAGAGAGAAACAAGATTCAAGCTATTGACTTTCTGTAGTATGTTTCCATAGGTACAGCGTTCGCTGTGGTTCGCTTTGATCAGGACCCAGATAATTGACCATTAAATGGAAGCTGGGATGTGCAGAGCTGACTATTAAGAATATATATATATAATATGTGTGTGTGTATGTATATGTATGTGTGTATGTGTGTATGTATATATATATATATATATATATATATAAGTATTTAGTCAGCCACCAATTGTGCAAGTTCTCCCACTTAAAAAAATGAGAGAGGCCTATAATTGGCATCATAGGTAGACCTCAACTATGAGAGACAAAATGAGAAAAAAAAAAAAATCCAGACAATCACATTGGCTGATTTGGAAAGAATTTATTTGCAAATTATGGTGGAAAATAAGTATTTGGTCAATATCAAAAAGTTCATCTCAATACTTTGTTATATATCCTTTGTTGGCAATGATAGAGGTCAAACGTTTCCTGTAAGTCTTCACAAGGTTGGCACACACTGTTGCTGGTATGTTGGCCCATTCCTCCATGCAGATCTCCTCTAGAGCAGTGATGTTTTGAGGCTGTCGCTGGGCAACACAGACTTTCAACTCCCTGCAAATGTTTTCTATGGGGTTGAGATCTGGAGACTGGCTACTCCAGGACCTTCAAATGCTTCTTACGAAGCCACTCCTTCGTTGCCCGGGCGGTATGTTTGGGATCATTGTCATGTTGGAAGACCCAGCCAAGTTTCATCTTCAATGCCCTTGCTGATGGAAGGAGGTTTGCACTCAAAATCTCACAATACATGGCCCCATTCATTCTGTCCTGTACATGGATCAGTCGTCCTGGTCACTTTGCAGAGAAACAGCCCCAAAGCATGATGTTGCCACCCCCATGCTTCACAGTAGGTATATGGTGTTCTTTGGATGCAACTCAGCATTCTCTTTCCTCCAAACACAACGAGCTGTGTTTCTACCAAACCGTTCTATTTTGGTTTCATCTGACCATATGACATTCTCCCAATCCTCTTCTGGATCATCCAAATGCTCTCTAGCAAACTTCAGACGGGCCCAGACATGTACTGGCTTAAGCAGGGGGACACATCTGGCACTGCAGGATATGAGTCCCTGGCGGCATGTGTTACTGATGGTAGCCTTTGTTACGTTGGTCCCAGCTCTCTGCAGCTCATTCACTAGGTCCCCCCGTGCGGTCCTGGGATTTTTGCTCACCGTTCTTGTGATCATTTTGACCCCACGGGGTGAGATCTTGCGTGGAGCCCCAGATCGAGGGAGATTATCAGTGGTCTTGTATGTCTTCCATTTTCTAATTATTGCTCCCACAGTTGATTTGTTCACACCAAGCTGCTTGCCTATTGCAGATTCAGTCTTCCCAGCCTGGTGCAGATCTACAATTTTGTTTCTGGTGTCCTTCGACAGCTCTTTGGTCTTCACCATAGTGGAGTTTGGAGTGTGACTGTTTGAGGTTGTGGACAGGTGTCTTTTATACTGATAACAAGTTCAAACAGGTGCCATTGATACAGGTAATGAGTGCAGGACAGAGGAGCCTCTTAAAGAAGAAGGTACAGGTCTGTGAGAGCCAGAAATCCTGCTTGTTTGTAGGTGACCAAATACTTATTTTCCACCATAATTTGCAAATAAATTCTTTCCAAATCAGCCAATGTGATTGTCTGGATTTTTTCTCTCATTTTGTCTCTCATAGTTGAGGTCTACCTATGATGCCAATTACAGGCCCCTCTCATCTTTTTTAAGTGCGAGAACTTGCACAATTGGTGGCTGACTAAATACTTTTTTGCCCCACTGTATATGTATGTATATATATGTGTGTGTGTGTGTGTGTGTGTATGTATATATATATATATATATACAGTTGTGACCAAAATTATTCAACCCCCACTGAAATTGAGTGTTTTGGCCAGTTTGACATTGCTTTTGATCATTCAGTCATCTTGCTTACATTTACATTAAAGAGGCACTTGTAGGTCAGACAAATATAACATAACAGTTATAATGAAATAACCACAAATGTCTTTTCTGTGCTCACAGCATTATCAGTTTTATTCAACCCCCAAGTGACATTCAATCTTAGTACTTAGTACAGCATCCTTTTACAGTTATAACAGCTTTTAAACGTGAAGCATAGCTTGACACAAGTGTCTTGCAGCGATCTACGGGTATCTTCGCCCATTCTTCATGGGCAAAGGCCTCCAGTTCAGTCACATTCTTAGGCTTGCGCACTGCAACTGCTTTCTTTAAGTCCCACCAGAGGTTCTCAATCGGATTTAAGTCTGGTGACTGCGATGGCCACTCCAAAATGTTCCAGCCTTTCCTCTGCAACCATGCTCTAGTGGACTTGGAGGTATGCTTGGGATCATTGTCCTGTTGAAAGGTCCAACGTCTCCCAAGCCTCAGGTGTGTGACGGACTGCATCACGTTTCCATCCAATATCTCCTGGTACTGAAGAGAATTCATGGTACCTTGCACACGCTGAAGCTTCCCTGTACCTGCAGAAGCAAAACAGCCCCAAAGCATGATTGACCCTCCACCATGCTTCACAGTAGGCAAGGTGTTCTTTTCATCATAGGCCTTGTTCTTCCTCCTCCAAACATAGCGTTGATCCATGGGCCCAAACAGTTCTAATTTTGTTTCATCAGTCCACAGAACACTATCCCACAACTTTTGTGGTTTGTCCACATGGCTTTTGGCATACTGCAGTCGACTCTTCTTATTCTTTGGAGACAGCAAGGGGGTACGCCTGGGAGTTCTGGCACGGAGGCCTTCATTACGCAGTGTGCGTCTTATTGTCTGGGCTGAAACTTCTGTACCCACATCTGACAAATCTTTTCTCAGTTCCTCAGCAGTCACACGGGGACTTCTCTCCACTCTACGCTTCAGGTAGCGCACAGCAGTCGAAGTCAGCATCTTCTTTCTGCCACGACCAGGTAGCGTTTCAACAGTGCCCTTTGCCTTGAATTTGCGAATGATGCTTCCTAAGGTGTCTCTTGGTATGTTTAACATCTTTGCAATCTTCTTATAGCCATTGCCCTTCCTGTGAAGAGAAATCACCTCTTCTCTTGTCTTCCTGGACCATTCTCTTGCCTTCACCATGTTTGTAACCACACCAGTAAATGTCTAGAAGGAGCTGAGTATCACAGTCATTTTAAAGCTGCCTAATTGGTGCTTATTATGCTTGATTGCTGCTCGGTGACATCCACAGGTGTTTTCAATACCTGATGGAAAGCACCTGTATGAACCTCTGTTCTTCAGAGTGGTAGTCTTTAAGGGGTTGAATAATTGTGGCAATGAAGAAACCACATAAGAACCATTTACTACTGTATTACATAAACAATTGATGTCATTTTAGTTGCATTTGGGTAGTTACAACGTCCTTGTAGGATTTGATTCTGAATACAATTCCAAATGTACACTATAGTCCCTAAACCCCTTTACAGCATTGGGGGTTGAATAATTTTGGTCACAACTGTATATATATATATATAATGTTTTTACTTTTCTTTATCCTCAAATATTTTTATAATGGAGTTCGGTTGTGTGTGTAGAAACCTTTAGGGACATGCAAGCATTTGACCAAAAGTGTGCAAATTGACTAATCACATTTTCCCAGGATCAGTCATTCAGGACTGTCTGCATTAGGTTGCAAAAAATTGTAGACAGGAGGATTATCACCCAACCAGTTAAGATCAAGCAATGATCGCCTTTTGCTTTTAAAGGGTTTTTAAAGCTCCCTGCTAATTGAATGAAGGGCCTCCAGTATATATGGCTGGAGGCTTTGCAGCTCAAAGAGACTTAAGCTGGCCATAGATGATTTGAATCTCAGCTCATTCAGCAGGGACCAGCCAAGATTTGAACCATCTATGGGCAGGTATGTATTGTACCCAATTTGATTGTTTTATGACTTGGGTACAACCAGCCTGTGGGATTTTTACATGCGATTATTGCCAGTGACTATAGCCACTAGCAATAATCATTGTTTTCTCCTGGCCGGGACGGCTCCTCACATCTCAACCCCTGCTGGGAGAACACAATAGCTCCGCTGGAGGGATTCCCCCATCAACGCCCATGGTTGCAGGAAAGAAAATCACATTGTCTGTGGCCTGCCTTGCTGGCATGGTTGTATACAGTTGAATAGCCTATTATTGTTTGTTAGGCATTTTCAAAGCTCAGTATTGCACATGGCTGCTTTTGAATTAATCAATATCTTTTGATAGTCATCCTAGCCCAGGATATAAGATATCTACATACACCTGTGTCCACTCCTTTAGACAGAGCAGATGTAGCAGTTTCTTAAATTAGATTTCAGTATAAGGCTCCATTGAGAGCTCCCACTGCACCACGTGATGGGTCCTCAGAGCCTCCACATGCAATTCACATGCCTAGGAAATTTTCTTTTGCTGATGTTACATAGTTAGTCTGGCTGAAAAAAGACAAAAGTCCATCCAGTTCAACCATTAAAAAAAAAAAAAAAAGTTATAAGTTGATTCAGAGGAAGACAACCCTCCCACCACCAGCAAAGCATGATCCAATTTGCTTCTGCAAGGATAAAAATTCCTTCCTGATCCTCCGAGAGGCAATCGGATATTCCCTGGATCAACTTTACCTATAAATGGTAGTATCCAGTTATATTCTGTGTATCTAAGAATCCAGGCCTTTTTTAAAGCAATCCACTGAGCTGGCCAGAACCAACTCTTGAGGGAGTCTATTCCACATTTTCACAGCTCTCACTGTGAAGAACCCTTTCCGAGTTCGGAGATTAAATTTCTTTTCCTCCAGACGTAAAGAGAGTATGAATCATTAACCACTACTCTCTGAATACGATCTTTTAGCCAGTTGTCTATACATTTACATATGGATTTTTCCAAGCCTGTGGACTTTACCTTACACATTAGCCATGTGTGGGGAACTGTGTGTGTGATGTGCATGGAAGCAGCTTAATGACATTGTCCCGTTGTGTCTCCTTTGAGCCCCTCCAAGCAGAGGTATGCTCCTGGGCACTTCGTGAGTTAGGAGATAACAGAAAATCACACACACTTAAGGCGACACATTAAAATAATCAAAAGCTGAAGCCTAAGCCAGATGGATGGAATTAAAGTGTAACTAAACCTCCTTTATATTTCCTGCAGTCCCATGCGGTTTGCACTTAAAATACATCCTTTTTCTTCAGTGCTGTTCCCAGCGCAGCTTTGGAAAAGTGTGAACCTTGTCTTTTCACAGCTGCAGGAGATTTTCGTTCAATATAATTTCACATTTTGGAAGTTGCTCACTTTTCTTTTTTAGCCCTTTATTACAGGAGGTTTTCAGCTTTTTTGTATTTATTCTTGTTGCAGGGCATTGATTTACAAGGTGTAGATTCTTTTGTTTAGGAAGTCACTTGCTCTGCCTAATGCGGTTCCATTCATTTAAAGGATTTAAAGAAATACAGTAAAAGTATAGCTGTGCATTTAAATCACATACAGTAATCTCTTTAAATATGTCCAGTTATACAAAGCAACCTTTGAGAGCTCTCATCACAGATCCAGGCTAATGTTAACAAAGTTATGTCCAGTGTGTCTGCATCTGTTCTGTAAATGCAGATAAGGGCTCAGAAAAAGGATGCCATCTCCTCCACATAAGTTGACTTTAATGTCTGTTCTAGGACTTGTACATAATGCTTTAAATGCTGTGACACACTTATGCAATCACCAAAGATCACAAACTGCTAAGTATAGGTAGTCTCCGCATGTTATACTAGTCCTAACAAGGCCAAAGTTATGCTGGTTGTGTAATTTACTTGTGTTTATGAAGTGATGATATGCATTTTGTTTAGGAAAACTTCACTGACCATGCAAGCTTGTTTATAACAGACATTTCCCAGATCCAGCCATACTTATCACCTACTCTTTGTTTTAGGATCAACCACTACCAACAGCGGCTGCAGTCTCTGTATTTCAAAAAGAAGTTTGCAGAAAGAGTTGCTGAAGTCAAACCAAAGGTAGATGGTAAGTTGGAATTGTACATGTGTTTATAAACTGTGCAATTTTCTGAAAATATAACTGTGTATATATGTATATACAGTAATATATATACTGTATAATAGGATGTGTGTGAATATGTGTGTGTATATATGTGTGTGTGTGTATATATATATATATATATATATATATATACATATACACACATTATGAATAAAAGACAGTTCCAAGGGTAGCCACGGAATTTCCCAGGTGCTCACCCACAAAGAAATCCAAAATGGTGTAAAGACATTCACTGGTCCTGCAGAGGAGGTAGATCAAAAAACAGCAGTATTTTATTGTCAGCGTTTTGATGAAGCTCAGTCCATCCGTCTTGAGAAAGATGGACTGAACGTCATCAAAATGTTGACAATAAAAACACTGCTGTTTTTGATCTACCTCCTCTTCAAGACCTTTGAGTTTCTTTACACCAGTTTGGATTTTACATATATATATATATATATATATATATATATATATATATATATATATAGTAATTTTGTCAGATTTATTTGTGTGTTCTAGGTTCCGTGTTTGGTTTTTTTTTTTGTGTGTGTCTCTTGGCCCACCTTATTCGCTCATTATATTCTGTTCTGTCTTTGTGCAGCAATTCGTGCCGCTTCTAAGCAAGTGCTGCAGAGTAAAAGCTTAAAGCAGCTGTTGGAAGTGGTTCTTGCTTTTGGAAACTACATGAACAAAGGACAGCGAGGAAACGCTTACGGGTTTAAAATTTCCAGCTTAAACAAGATTGCCGATACCAAATCCAGTATAGACAAGTAAGCTGAACAAGTTACAGGTGTATTTTAGCTCTTGAACTTTGTCCTTTGGCTACAGATCTGTTGACACTGCTTTCTATACCTAATTCTACAAAATCAATCACTGCTAAAATAACAGTTCAAATAAGGTGATCGGAATAAAGGTTAGGTGTACCCAGAGCCTATAATATTTCCTTTTGTTGGGATGGTAGGGATGTGATGCATTTTCTGGGCCAGTCCTAAAACACATTGGTTATGTAGAAATACATTGAGATTTTGTAGGGAGATCTGCTTGTCTGAACTGAAAGCAGCGTACAATAAGATGGCTCAACCATGGTCTTTTAGGCTGCCTTTGGGTTAGAGTGGCATGCTCCCTCTTGCAAGGTTTAAACTATTTTCAGTATCAGTCTGTTAGAGAATGATGTTGGGAGGTAGGTGCGAGTAAAATAATTAGAGCAGATCTGATCCAGCACACATGGTACTTTTCTACATCTTTTTACTTGACACAAAACAGATAACACCATATATTGATGCTACAGCCTTTGTACGCCAGGACTACCACAATGTCTTGTTCAAGATGTTACCATTTTATCTCTATAAAGATACATTGACTGTGTAGATGTTTTATCTTGGTAAAGGTACACTAACCATACCATGGTCTACTCTTATTATTATTATTATTATTATTATTATTATTATTATTATACAGTATTTATAAAGCGCCAATGGTTCGCGCAGCGCTGTACATTACAAAGGGGGACAGAACATGTGACAGAACAATACCAATACAATGCAAAACATGAGGGGATCGAGGGCCCTGCTCTTTCGAGCTTACAATCTAGGAGATACTTCATCATCTTTGTAGATCTTTAACCGCTTCCTCGCCGCCCTATGGCAGAATTGCTGCTACAGGGCGGCACGGGTGCACAAAATCGTGTATATATACGTGATTTTGCAGTTCCGGGTAGGGGGCATGCACGCCCTACCCCGCTCCACCATTTGCAGCCTCAGCTGTCAATCACCAGGTCCCAGCTAGTGGTTCCCCGCCGGCAGCCAGCAATCTCTGAGCATTACCGATGGGGGAGAGACCTGATTGCAAACAATAGAGATGTCTCCCTTGTCAGCTTTTGCATACTGCTTTGTATGGCTCTGCATAGCACACGCAGTTAACCCTTTGATCAGCACACATGTTAACCCCTTCCTGCCCAGTGTCATTAGTACCGGGTCAGTGCTTTTTATTAGCACTAATCACTGTATTGGTGTCACTGGGGATGTCAGTGACACCAAGTCAGTTTCCCCCCCCGTGTCAAAATGGCCGCTGCAGTCACTCTATAAGTCACTGATCACTGCCATTGCTAGTAAAAGAAAAAATTCCAGTATATATACCGCCATTTGTAAACGCTATAACTTTCACATAAACCAATTAATTTTTGTCAGTCTTCTTTTGTTTATAGAGCAAAAAATAAAAACCGCACATGCGATCAAATACCACCAAACAAAAGCTCTATTTATGGGGGGAAAAAAGGATGGAAATTTAATTTGGGTGCAGTGTTGCGTGACCACGGAATTGTCAGTTAAAGTAACACAGCGCTGTATTGTAAACAAAATGGCCTGGTCAGGTAGAAGGGGGTAAATCCTCTGGAGGGCAAGTGGTTAAAGGATTATTTCACCTCAAAAAAATGAAAAGGTGAACTAACACCATACACCCTCCCCACACCCGGGTCTCTGCTGTACTTCCCTCCCTGGGTAAGGAGCAGTCAATGCCAATGCAGCGGTCTAGGGATTTTAATTCCCTGCTCTTCTCCCTTTTATTTCCACAGCACTTCCGGAACAGATCAGTGCTATGTGCCAGCGCTGACCAATCAGAATCACTCTGCTCTGTCCTGGAAGTGCTGCAGAAAGAAGAGCAGGGATATCCATTCCCTGAACCACTGCATTGGCTGCGTGGGCACTGACAGCTCATTACCTCGGGTGGTAAGTACAGCGGGGACTGCAGGGTAGGGAGAGCGTATAGTATTTACCTTTTCATTTTATCTGGATACACTTTAAAGCTGAATTTCAGTTTGCTAAAAAGTCACAAATTTAATGCAGCTCTGTATTTATCAATAGGTCGTTAGATTTATTTTTACCTGAATCTGACCTGGTATTAGCCTCTTGCAGTAGATTGTACAGTAGAGCTCAGACTGGATGTTTGGAAAAGCAGCGCAACCACCCAGTCAGTTGTGCTAAAGTGACCATGGGCTAACAAGGAACTTGTAGATAGGAGGTGAGGGCAGACGGACAAGCTCATCAGTCTGCTGCTTCTCCTTTCACTGTCCAGTCACAGGCTGGGGAAGGGACAAAACATGTAAAGCTAGGTTTAGATGTGCGTCTAAACTGGATGCTCCTCTGAAGAGGAATCTGCATATGGATCTCTTTTAAGAAGTGATTTCAGGTGGTGAGGAGGCGGGGCGTTTGCATCAATGCGTTGCGTTCAATGGGCTTGCTGCCTTCTGATTGCAACATGCTGGATAGCAGGTGCGAAGCAGTGCGATTGTGGCATGTAAGCCCCCTGCCATTGAAGCTTAAAGGGGGTGTAGTTGGGGGTGCTATGCTGTACAGAAGAGCTGTGTATATTTCAGGAAGGAATGGACAGGTACATATCTTTTGGCAAGTAAAAATAGTTTCAGTATATTGATTTAATCTGTGTATTTAGCTGCTTTCCTGGAATTCCGATTTATTAGACTTTTTATAATGTTTGATGAAGCAAGTTAATGTGTTTACAGTGGGGATCGAAAGTTTGGGCACCCCAGCTAAAAATTTGTATTAATGTGCATAAAGAAGCCAAGGAAAGTTGGAAAAATCTCCAAAAGGCATCAAATTACAGATTAGACATTCTTATAATATGTCAACAAAAGTTAGATTTTATTTCCATCATTTACACTTTCAAAATAACAGAAAACAAAAAAATGGTGTCTGCAAAAGTTTGGGCACCCTGCAGAATTTATAGCATGCACTGCCCCCTTTGCAAAGCTGAGACCTGCCAGTGTCATGGATTGTTCTCAATCATCGTCTGGGAAGACCAGGTTATGTCAATCTCAAAGGTTTTAAATGCCCAGACTCATCTGACCTTGCCCCAACAATCAGCACCATGGGTTCTTCTAAGCAGTTGTCTAGAAAACTGAAAATAGTTGACGCTCACAAAGCTGGAGAAGGCTATAAGAAGATAGCAAAGCGTTTTCAGATGTCAATATCCTCTGTTTGGAATGTAATTAAGAAATGGCAGTCATCAGGAACAGTGGAAGTTAAAGCAAGATCTGGAAGACCAAGAAAAATATCAGACAGAACAGCTCGCAGGATTGTGAGAAAAACAATTCAAAACCCACGTTTGACTGCACGATCCCTCCAGAAAGATCTGGCAGACACTGGAGTTGTGGTACACTATTCCACTATAAAGAGATACTTGTACAAATATGGTCTTCATGGAAGAGTCATCAGAAGAAAACCTCTTCTATGTCCTCATCACAAAAATCATCGTTTGAACTTTGCAAATGAACATATAGACAAGCCTGATGCATTTTGGAAACAAGTTCTGTGGATCGATGAGGTTAAAATTGAACTTTTTGGCCGGAATGAGCAAAGGTACGTTTGGAGAAGAAGGGGCACAGAATTTAATGAAAAGAACCTCTGTCCAACTGTTAAGCATGGGGTTGGATCAATCATGCTTTGGGGTTGTGTTGCAGCCAGTGGCACAGGGAACATCTCACGAGTAAAAGGAAAAATGGATTCAATAAAATTTCAGCAAATTTTGGATGGTAACTTGATGCCATCTGTGAAAAAGCTGAAGTGAAAGAGAGGATGGCTTCTACAAATGGATAATGATCCTAAACACACCTCAAAATCCACGGGGGATTACATCAAGAGGCGTAAACTGAAGGTTTTGCCATGGCCTTCACAATCTCCTGACCTCAACATAATTGAAAATGTATGGATAGACCTTAAAAGAGCAGTGCGTGACAGACAGCCCAGAAATCTCAAAGAACTGGAAGACTTTTGTAAGGAAGAATGGGCAAAGATACCTCAAACAAGAACTGAAAGACTCTTGGCTGGCTACAAAAAGCATTTACAAGCTGTGATACTTGCCAAAGGGGGCAGTACAAGATATTAACTCTGCGGGGTACCCAAACTTTTGCAGACGCCATTTTTTTTGTGTTCTGTTATTTTGAAAGTGTAAATGATGGAAATAAAATCTAACTTTTGTTGACATATTATAAGAATGTCTAATCTGTAATTTGATGCCTTTTGGAAATTTTTCCATCTTTCCTTTGCTTCTTTATGCATATTAATACAAATATTTAGCTGGGGTGCCCAAACTTTCGATCCCCACTGTACATTCAAGTTCTATCCATGTATCCACCCAGTCACTGTAGGCTGATCACCCTCTAACAATGACCTACTACTTGGGATCTGGGACTGATGCACCCTTCACCACTTTACTTTCAACCACTGCCCCCTACAGGAGAAAACTGGTCAGGAAATACCCTAATGGTTGTGTTAAAAGCCTCCTATATTAAACGCAGAGCAATTACAAAGTTCCTAGCAGTGGTTTATGCTTTTCCTGCATTCAACCTCTCACAGGGGGTGTTTTCTATAGAATCCCACGTGTGAAAGCTGCTAATTTCCCTTCAGAGCTGTGGTTTTCTTTCTTGCTTCCAACATTAAAACATGAAAAATGCTCCTGTGGGGACTATATGAGGTAATGTAAGGAAGAGGGATGGTGCTGATGACATTCAGCTGTTTAAATTCTACAGCGAATATGATGCACTCATTGGACGGAAGCCAACTTTGTCCAATGTTTGCATGTGCTGCAGCACTGGAGTATATGAATGGAATATACGCTGCGTGCATCCATGTCTGCTGCTGAACTGATGCAGATTGCTCTACCTGGGTGGTCTTGATTGTCTATAATGATGGCTGTGTTGTACATTATTTCCTGCTCCTATGTTAATGTTGTTTATGACTTTCCTCATTCATTGGGTGCTGCAAACGTTCTGCTTTTTGAAGGAAACCTGCATTGAGAAAACTAGCGGTTCTGTTTCTTTTTTCAGATATCCTTCTGAAAATGCTGGCTGCTTGCTGCACACTATTATGTCTGCATAGTAGCCAGGCAACTAGCATTTCTTTCTCTGTATTTATATGTTGTACTAGATCACACTATCTAGTTACAATGTATTTTATCAGATTGACGTTAGTTACATTTGTGTCCTTACGAAGATGAGATTTTACCATAGGGTGGTGTCACACTTGCAGTCTTGGTGCTGGCAATAACTCTTACCGGCAGCAGGATTGCTTTGGAGGGCACATACAGGCGATGGAACACTTTCCTCCTTTCATGTCTCACTGTGGTGCTAACTAGATGACTGTCACCAGCAACGCAAACATCTTAATCACACACACAGTGACCCGTTACATCTGCTTTAGTGCCACTTTAGGTGCCTTGTCTGTGATTACTTATCTAGTGATCCACTCTGTAGTGAGGATACAAGCATCCAGAATGCTTGATACAGAAAGCAGCATAACCATGCAATCAAAGATGCCACACATTGCCAGCTCACTGTGCATTGTTCAATGAAATGGCCTCAGCCTCCGGCCCTCCTTGAGCCATGCCTCTGATGTTTCGCCTAAGCCCCAGGGTGGGGTGAAATGCATCTGAGGGCATGGCTCAGGAGGAGGCTGAGGACGATTCACTGAACACTGCACAGTGAGCTGGCGGTGTGCGGGGTCCCCTATACCGCATCCTAATCGCACAGTACAAGACACAGGCTAAGTATTCCTAGACCCTGGCTTGTAGGCTTGCACCTATAACTAGGTGATTGGACAATGGCAAGTTTTTGAGGATGTGCCCTTGGGCGTCCCCACTATAACCCTGTCCCACCCTGTGAGTCCTCAGTTTTTTTTCTATATAGTGAAATAAGAAGATGGACCTCTTCTATTTAGACTACTAGAAGGTGGCCCATGGTCTGTTCCCAACAGTCCAGACCTATTGTCTCAGGGCTCACTATTCCATCTTGCTTCTCAGTTACTGGATTGGTTCCTGGCTTCTGGAATGGTTACATAATGCTATATGCTTCTTCTTACAGGAACATCACCCTTTTGCACTATCTTATAACTGTGGTAGAAAAGAAGTATCCCAAAGTTGTCAGCCTGCATGAAGAGCTCCAAAGTATCCCTGAGGCTGCAAAAGTCAAGTAAGTAGCAGCAAAGGTCTGTGTGTGTGTGTGTGTGTGTGTGTGTGTGTGTGTGTCTTGTGTGTGTGTGTGTGTGTGTGTGTGTGTGTGTGTGTATATATATATATATATATATATATATATATATATATATATATATATATATTTATATTATATAAAGATTAAGGCAGGTTATGCCATCTTAGGTTTTTTTTGTTCTCCGATTCAGTTCTTGACCGCATGATGATTATTACAAAGCCCTTCTTGTACACTGGGGAAAATAATTTGTTTTTCCATATATTTTTACAGATTACAAATACTTTTATTTTTTTTTTCTCTTTAGTTAGGTAAATGTAAATTATTTAAAATGTACTACTCTTTTTTTGTGGCCATCTGATAGTACTTTGTATTAACATGGCAGCAAACTTGCTGTCTACATACATAATAGAATGATCTCAGATTACACACACAGCTGAAGTGCAGAACGAGTGCTGGGCTCTTATATCCTGTATTGAATGTTTATTTGTAAATTAAGGATGTTCTACAAATAACAGAAGTGATTAAAAACCTAAATTAAAAACAAAAATACAGTTAAGTGAAAACCACTATAGTTACCCATCAAAATAGTATTGGATAATGTTTTTCTCTACATAACTTTTTTTTTTCTCTAATTAATATAGTATGACCGAGCTGGAGAAAGAGGTCAGTAACTTGAGGAATGGCTTGAAAGCTGTAGAAACTGTAAGTATTCCCAACTTTTTTCAGTCTTTGAAAGTACATCAACACATAGGGCTGTCAATGCTGGTGTTCTTTTGAAAATGCAAATTGCCTGGATGTGTCTGGCTTTATTAATATTACTGGCATTTGAAATGAGCATGTGCTGCAGAAAAAGCTAAATTTCCACAACTTTGTACTTAAAGTGGTTCTAAAGCAGCGGTTCTCAACCTGTGGGTCGCGACCCCTTTGGGGGTCGAACAACCCTTTCACAGGGGTCTCCTAAGACCATCGGAAAACACATATTTCCGATGGTCTTAGGAACCGAGACACCGCTCCTCTATCAGTCTCCAGGCGGGTCCGCCCACATGCAGATACGTCCACATTTCCCTGGACGCAATGTGTGTGCGGGATGACATGCTGCCCCTGTCATCTGGCCACATCCCGGGATCACTCAACAGCTCCGCCTCCTCGCCAGTGATTGGCCGCCGGAACTGTAGCTCAGGAGAGGCGCACAGGTGGCCAATCACCGGCGAGGAGGAGGAGCCGAGCAGCAGCGAGAAGATCAAAGAAGATCGAGCAAGGGAGCGGCCGGAGAAGGAAGACAGCTGACAGGTAAGTGTCTGTAGCGTGCAGATGGTGCTGCTGCAGCCAGGCATGCTGGCTGTAAATGGGAGAGGGAGGGAGGAAGCCCAGGCTGCAGCAGGAGTCAGCAAGGTAAGTATCATTGGTGTCAGTAGGAGGAATAGTGCCCCATCATTGGTGTCACGAATACCAATGATGGGGCACTATTCCTCCCACTGACACCAACAATGTGGCACTATTCCTCCCACTGACACAAACGATGGGACACTATTCCTCCCACTGATACCAACGATGGGACACTATTCCTCCCACTGATACCAACGATGGGACACTATTCCTCCCACTGCAAAATTACAGTTATGAAGTAGCAACGAAAATAATTTTATGGTTGGGGGTCACCACAACATGAGGAACTGTATTAAAGGGTCGCGGCATTAGGAAGGTTGAGAACCACTGTTCTAAAAGCTCAAGGGCTTTTACCTTCATGCATTCTCTGTTACAGCTAGTGTGGGATCTTCTCCTCCCCGCTTGCTGCCACAGTTTTTTAAAAAAACATGGCTAGCTGGTTGCGGTTTTTTTAAAATTGTGACAGCTGGCGGGGAGGAAAGATCCCCTACTAGCTGTTACAATGGGGATTGGGGGGGGGGGGGCATTCTGATCTTAACATGCTACACCCTGAATATGGGTGTATTATGTTACGAAAGATGAACATATCCTTTAAAGTACAAAAGCAACGTATTGGTAGAACAGTAATGCAATTACAATTTTTCAGAGAATCCCTTTCCAGCAGATGCAATGTTGAAAATAATCGCACCATGAGATAGGCGGATAGGTCACAGTAGCTGTGATGTTGTTGTGTGTAACACCTAGTTTGCATTTGGAGCCCAAAAATGTCACAGTGACCTGTCCATCACAGTGCTGTTATTGTCAACAGGGCACCTGCTGGAAAGTGGCTTGTAACCTGCACTTCAGGTACATCTACAGTTTGTAATTTGAAGCCTTTCTATTTGTACATAGCCAATTTGTTGGTTGATTTTTATCCTAACTGGCGCTCTCCTTTTTAAGAAGCTTTTGCAGAGGTTTCCAGCTGGATTACTACTAAGAAGCCACTGTGAATGTCAGCAGTCATGGCATGCTTGAATGTAACTGTTCTTGGAAATGTTGACATTTATGAATTTAGTTCCACTTTAAATACAAAGAAATGTGCAAGAAAGTGATCAGTCTGATTTGTATCCCTTGCCTAGGAGCTGGAATATCAGAAGACTCAGTCCTTTGTGCCTGGGGACAAGTTTGTCTCTGTTGTCAGTCAGTTTATTACTGTCGCTGGCTTCAGCTTCTCAGATGTTGAGGATTTGCTGGGAGAGTCCAAGGAGCTGGTGAGTACACATCTGTGAACGTCTTATACTGCTCTCTATTATTTCCCAGTTGTTCCTAATTCAAACCAATCTCAGCCGGGAGCTGTATGGCCTCCCCTGCATAGGGATTGCACAGCAGAAACTACAGCAAGAATGTAGCAAGATTTCTGACTGCAAGCACATTGATGTGAGTTGTTCACATGTTGTGAGCACATTATCCCAGTTCTTGGAAATTTACAGGGGGCTTGTTCTTTGCATGATGGGAGAAAATAAATGAAGACTAATGTGTTACACTGAAATGCCATTCATTTAAATTTGAATTGCAGTCACTCTGCCCAGTCCAAGGTTAAATACATATAAGGGAGTGGATTTAAGGCCTCGTTCACACCATACATGTATGAACACTGATGGGAAAAACGCACAGATTTCACTTGCAAACAAACATTTACATTAGTTTCCATGCAGGTCTCAATGAGTTTTATACATCTTGCAGATTCCTGCACAGAAAAAATTCACACGTGATACTAGTGGTGTGAACAGGGTGCATAGAGAACAATTATTTGGTTGGGCCCTTGCAAAACGCGTAGAGAAAAACTGATGTCTCTGCATCATAGTGTGAATGAGGCCTTACTGTCAAAGGATTTGAATTGCTATCTGTCAAGTCCTGAGATATAGGTTACATTCACAGGTAAGGTTGGGAGGGTAGTTAAACCCCTTGGTTAAGCTGTGCTTTACTGTCCCCTAACAGCTAGCCCCTTTAGCTGAAGAGGCAACAACTGGGGGTGGTGTACACATGCTACAGCTGTGATGCTTTGTGGCCATGGCAGGAATTCTACATCTGCCACTCTGCAAGTACCCCACAACCATGTGCAATGTATGTGGTTGCTGCACATTAGTGCAGGATTCATGGGGTTAAAGCATGGCGAAGAGGTGATACAGTGCCTCCTCACCTCCTCTCAAATGCTTTCTGAAGAGTGATCTGAATGCAGAAGCCCACCTTACCACCTGTCCACTGGACCTCGTTCCCTTACAACTACTATGGTCATCCTCTTCTTCTGTCCTTTGCTCTCCCACTCACATCTTCAATCTCTCCCTTCCAGCTGGCACCTTTCCCTCCCCTCTGAAGCATACACAGATCACTCCCATACGTAAAAAGCCTTCACTGGACCCCATCAGCCTGAACAATTTAAGACCCATCTCCCTGCTCCTGTTTACTTCTAACCTTTTAGAATGCTTAGTCTGCAACTGTCTTAGGTCTTACCTCACTGACAACAACCTTCTTGACCCCTCAGTCTGGCTTTCACTTACTACACTCCGCTGAATAATTTACTAACTGCTACAACCAAAGGCCACTACTCCTACTGCTAGACCTCTCTGTAGCCCTTTATACTGTTGACCACCTGCTCCTTCAAGAAAAAAAAAAAAAACTCCATTCCCTTGGCTTCCAAGAGTCTGGTCTCTCCTAGTTCTCCTCCTACCCATCACAGAACTCCTTCAGTGTTACCTGTAATTCTGTCTCCTCCTCTCCACTTCCTCTTCCTGCCGGGGACCCCCAAGGTTCTGACCTCGTACACCTCCTCCCTTGGTCACTTGATAAACTCTCATGGCTTCCAGTACCATCTCTATGCTGATGACACCCAAATCTGTCTTTCTACTCCTCACTTTGTTCCTTTAATCTCCTCTCGCAATACTAGCTTATTAACTGATGTATCAGCATGGATGTCACACCACTTCCTCAAACTCAGTCGTTCTAAAACTGAGCTCATAATATTCCCTCCAGCTCACCCCCCCCCCCCCCCCCCCCGCCCGTGCCCCCTCTCCTGACTTCTCCATTAAGATCAACAATACAGTTATCCATCCCTCCCCTCATGCCAGGGTACTAGGTGTAATCCTAGACTCCCATCTGTCCTTTCAGTCTCAAATCCAATCGCTGTCCATATCTTGTAGACGTCACCTCCGCAACATCTCCAAATACACCCCTTTTTAACCGCTGAAACCACTAAGCAACTTATTCACTCCCTTGTTATCTCTCGACTTGACTATTGTAACTCCCTCCTCATTGGCCTACCTGATCGCAGGCTATCCCCTCTTCAGTCTATCATGAATGCTGCTGCCAGACTCATCCACCTTACTAACCATTCATTGTTCACCACCCCTGTCTGCCAGTCCCTCCAGTGACTTCCCTTTTGCTCAACAAATTAAAATTCAAAACATAAACAATAACATACAAAGCCATTCACGACTCTACCCTGAGCTACATCACCAATCTTGTCTCCAAATAATACCCAAACTGTCCTCTTCGCTCCTCCCAGGACCTCCTGCTCTCTAACTCCTTTGTCTCCTCCTCCCATGCTCATCTACAGGACTTCCCCAGAGCCTCTTTCATCCTCTGGAACTCCCTACCCCAATCTGTCCTGCTATTTCCTACTCTGTCCACTTTTAAGCGATCCTTGAAAACTCATCTTTTCAGGGAAGCCTATCCTGCTTTCTGGTTATAACTAAATCTTTTATTTCTTCCATCAGTTCATCTGCCACAGTTATTACCTTCAGCTCCACCAGACCCTCTCTATTAGATTGTAAGCTTCCAGGTGCAAGACACTCCTAACCCTCTTGTTTTGAATTTGTATTGTTGCTGTATTGCCTCCCTTTATATTGTAATGCGCTGTGCACACTGTTGGCGCCATATAAATCCTGTATAATAATATTGAAGAAAAAAAAAATTATTACAAACACAACATTTCAGAGCAGGAACTCACCCTCCTATTTCCCTCACCATAATTTCCCACACATTGCTGGTGGTTTTAAGCACCAAAACTGAATGTACTGGTTTTCAATCACCCTCTAATTTCAATAAACTGTAAAAGCATGGGAATTAGACCATGGAAAACTTCCAGAATCCCAAGGTCTAGTTGCTATTATACATTCTGTTCAGACCATTCACTTGTACCTTAGGAGTCGCAATGTGAAGACATGCAATTTTTTTTTTTTTACCTATCTAATGTTAAAACTTGAAGCAGTATTTCCAAGAAGAGGAATGCTGGTATTGGATGGATGTACTTAGAAAACAGAAAAGCATTATCGTGTGCTATATATATATATATATATATATATATATATATATATATATATATATATATATATATATACACACAGTGGGGATCGAAAGTTTGGGCACCCCAGCTAAAAATTTGTATTAATGTGCATAAAGAAGCCAAGGAAAGATAGAAAAATCTCCAAAAGGCATCAAATTACAGATTAGACATTCTTATAATATGTCAACAAAAGTTAGATTTTATTTCCATCATTTACACTTTCAAAATAACAGAAAACAAAAAAATGGCGTCTGCAAAAGTTTGGGCACCCTGCAGAGTTAATATCTTGTACTGCCCCCTTTGGCAAGTATCACAGCTTGTAAACGCTTTTTGCAGCCAGCCAAGAGTCTTTCAATTCTTGTTTGAGGCATCTTTGCCCATTCTTCCTTACAAAAGTCTTCCAGTTCTTTGAGATTTCTGGGCTGTCTGTCACGCACTGCTCTTTTAAGGTCTATCCATAGATTTTCAATTATGTTGAGGTCAGGAGATTGTGAAGGCCATGGCAAAACCTTCAGTTTACGCCTCTTGATGTAATCCCCCGTGGATTTTGAGGTGTGTTTAGGATCATTATCCATTTGTAGAACCCATCCTCTCTTTAACTTCAGCTTTTTCACAGATGGCATCAAGTTACCATCCAAAATTTGCTGAAATTTTATTGAATCCATTTTTCCTTCTACTCGTGAGATGTTCCCTGTGCCACTGGCTGCAACACAACCCCCAAAGCATGATTGATCCAACCCCATGCTTAACAGTTGGACAGAGGTTCTTTTCATTAAATTCTGTGCCCCTTCTTCTCCAAACGTACCTTTGCTCATTCCGGCCAAAAAGTTCAATTTTAACCTCATCGGTCCACAGAACTTGTTTCCAAAATGCATCAGGCTTGTCTATATGTTCATTTGCAAAGTTCAAACGATGATTTTTGTGGTGAGGACGTAGAAGAGGTTTTCTTCTGATGACTCTTCCATGAAGACCATATTTGTACAAGTATCTCTTTATAGTGGAATAGTGTACCACAACTCCAGTGTCTGCCAGATCTTTCTGGAGGGATCGTGCAGTCAAACGTGGGTTTTGAATTGTTTTTCTCACAATCCTGCGAGCTGTCCTGTCTGATATTTTTCTTGGTCTTCCAGATCTTGCTTTAACTTTCACTGTTCCTGATGACTGCCATTTCTTAATTACATTCTGAACAGAGGATATTGACATCTGAAAACGCTTTGCTATCTTCTTATAGCCTTCTCCAGCTTTGTGAGCATCAACTATTTTCAGTTTCAGCTTTCTAGACAACTGCTTAGAAGAACCCATGGTGCTGATTGTTGGGGCAAGGTCAGATGAGTCTGGGCATTTAAAACCTTTGAGATTGACATCACCTGGTCTTCCCAGACGATGATTGAGAACAATCCATGACACTGGCAGGTCTCAGCTTGGCAAAGGGAGCAGTGCATGCTATAAATTCTGCAGGGTGCCCAAACTTTTGCAGACGCCATTTTTTTGTTTTCTGTTATTTTGAAAGTGTAAATGATGGAAATAAAATCTAACTTTTGTTGACATATTATAAGAATGTCTAATCTGTAATTTGATGCCTTTTGGAGATTTTTCCATCTTTCCTTGGCTTCTTTATGCACATTAATACAAATTTTTAGCTGGGGTGCCCAAACTTTCGATCCCCACTGTATACGTTTTTTTTTTTTTTCCTCGTAGTGCTGCCAAGGCCCTCCTGTGTCTCCCACAACCCCCTTCTTCCACAACCCCCCCCCCCCCCAATGGAGAGTGGGGGAAGGGGTTGGTAAATGTCATTTTACTGTCCCCTTTTCTTTATTGAATGAATAACAGTGAATGAGTGGTACCAATCACTCACACTGTGTTCATTCATGACTGTGTTGACTATGCTTGTGAATGAGCAGGAACTTCCAGGAACCAAGAAGCCAGTGT